AAGCATTCGTTATGCATTTAATATATTAACATTAGATATGAACACGTATCGAATATAATTTATACTAGGGCCGGATCAACCAAATTGTTTTGGGGCCGGAACGTCTTTTTTTTACCAGGGCCGCAACAAACCAGGGCCGGATCATCCTGATACCTAAACAGAGATGATGACTTTGACTGTTGCACAGATTAACGAGTACAAACTGAGATGTTACAAAGCTTTAATTAGGTATTTTTTAGGTGATTGGAAGTTATCAAAAAAATCACGCCCAGATCAAACGTCATACTTGTGATTTCCATGAGAAGAGTGCATTAGATTGTGAGAGAATCAAATGTTGCACATGCATGGCGTGACGACCATTACCACTGGTTTATTTATTTTACTGGCTGAATTCATTAAAAATAATGTTATTGAGACAGCAACACATTGAAATTTGAGTTCCCCTCAATATTTCTTTTTCAAGGAATTAAATTTATTCAATTGATTTTTTTTTATTATTGTGTTATTTTTGTTACTAGATATGATTGCCTATTATGATTGTATTATAGTCATTGTTATTCTTGCCATATAAGGTTAAGTTTTTTGATTAGCCATTGTCTTTATGTAGTTTGTTTTATATTAGTTTTCTTGTCTTGGATTTTCATTGTCCTTGTTTTGTATAAACAATTTAATTCCTTCCAAGGAATTTTATGTGTACATTATGATTTGTGTATATTATGATTTGGTCAACTGAATATGAGGTTAACCAGTTAAGTTTTGAAAAACCCGACGATTGTTGATGCAATTGCTTCAATGGGAGAGTACTTGACGAATGAAGCTTTCTCAGGCAGTTGTCTCTCCCTCGCTGTGTCACCAGATAGTGTTGAAAAACAAGCACATTTTGTCAAATTTCAGTTTGAATACTCCAAATTCAAAATAAATTGACAGTATACCAAGGAATCAGTTTACCACAGTTGCATACCCTTTTGTTATTTCTATAGGATAGCGGATCTGGTATGCCCTAACCCCACAACCCTAAACCTATCACAAATCCTGATTTAAGTGCCTGTAGTTAAACCTGACACTCTATAATGACAGACTAATGGTCATAGAAAAGAATACTGATGGCCATTTTCTTCTATCCATTTGCATGTATGTAAAGGGGCCTAAAAACTAACTTGTTAGTAAATACTTGCAATATATTATTTAATAGCATAGTGGGTCAGATCATTTTAGAAATATGTAACACAGATTGTGTTATTGACAATGTTTGGTTTCATATTAAAATTTACTTTTCACTGTACTATGTATTTTGGGGGGGATGTAGTTATTGTTCAACTAAAAACATCAGGGCAGTGGAGCAGGTCACTGTATTATGTTTATTAATATTCATGTATAATATTTGCATTACAGATATCTTTAGAACATGAGATATTACTTCATCCCAGATATTTTGGACCTAATCTACTTAACACAGTGAAACAGAAGTTATTTACTGAAGTGGAAGGAACATGTACAGGAAAGTAAGTCTAATTACCAATGTGTCAGAGATTACACTGTACTACTGTGATAATAAATGTAACAAGCAGTACAACTAACTTTCTGTAATATTTATGAGGGACAATATTTCAATGTATTTTGTAGATATGGATTTGTTATAGCAGTAACTACGATAGATAATATAGGAGCTGGTAGGATTCAACCAAGTCGAGGATTCGTGCTGTATCCAGTCAAATATAAAGCTATTGTATTCAGACCATTTAAAGGAGAGGTTGTTGATGCTGTAGTTACACAAGTCAACAAGGTAGGACATTATTATATGAATTAAGTACACTTACTTTTTACTGTAGTATGGGATGTAGATGTCATTATATAGATGTGGTATTACCGGTATTTATTTTTAGCTCCGCTGTCGACTTTGTCGAGCGGAGCTTATCATATGAGTGATTGTCCGTCGCCGTCGTCCGTGTCAATGTTTTACTTTTTTGACTTCTTCTTGAAAACTACAAGCCTGAATTGATACTTTGATACTTGGTGTATATGTACCTTGGGTAGACCTCTCTCAGATTTGTTCATTTTGTAATGATATCTTTAATTCTCTAATTTTGGTGAATATTTTTGTCATTTTTAGTAAAAAGTGATATTTTC